TCGGACCAGGTATTCTCCTTAATCTCAATATAATTAAAAAGGGGGATTGTATTTGAGTCAACTAGACAGTAATCAATCCTTGAATAGGTACCATGTACACTAGAGAAATGGAAATAATCTCTTTGAAATGGATGTAATAATCTCCAAATATCATATAAGTTAAATTGTTTGCAAATATTCTGTAATTTTTTTGGCCTGTTTATTAATTCTTTTATTATTTATAGTTGAAGTTATTGTTGATTTATCCAATTTAGGGTCATTAACACAATTAAAATCACCAACAATAATCAGAGAACCCTTAGAGATCTTATCAACTTTATCCATAATTTTGAAGAATTTGGCCATAGGGTCGACATTGGGGAGATATACATTAACCAATGTATAGATCTTATCATTGATGTTACAGACCAGAATAATAAACCTAGCATCAGTGTAGCGGATGGCACTGGGCTGTCCTGCAAATTTCATGTGAATAGCTGCATTCGTGTAAACTGCTAGTTTTATATGTGTTTAAAAGAAATGTATTCCTCTGATTGTTCGGTAGAATCATTCGAATAAAATAAGGGAATGAAACTACCGAACAATAAGACCTCCCCTGTATGAAGTGTGCCTTCAATTAACCGTTGCAACAATGTTGCGAATGGGTAATTGACGAGCTATGCAGTAGGTCCTTTGTCTCGGGATGGCCGCCATTCGGGAAACGAACACGTGGTGGCGGCCATTTTACAAACTCACGAACAGCGGTGTTTTGCCGTCGAGTGTCTGGAACCCAAATCGGACACTCGACTAGGCGAACACCGCTGAGACCTACATAAGCCCGGTCGTTCGGTTCCAAACTACCGAACGGCCCCTCGTTCGGTAGACAGAAACAACCGAACGAGGGGATTCGTGTGAATCCTACCTAATCTCTGTAACCTTAGCCGTTCGTGTAAATTATTCCCTTATACTGTGACCGACCGCAGGGCCCCATCGCATGGAACCCAATTCGGCTGTTCTATCCAGCGCGGTCGGTCTTTTTAGTACCTCCATAAATTTCCCGAACCCCGGTCTGATCTGGGTGATTTTTGGATATGTTGCTCACCCAGATCAGGGCTACCAGGGGATGTGCCATTTAAAGGGGTACCCCTAGGTTTAGGGGTACATCCAGGAACTGGGGGAATTTGGGTACAGTTTAAGGGGATTATGATGCAGGCTGAGGGGAGGAGATGTGTGGGAGGCTACGAATACCGGATTTGATAATGTACTAATTGTGGAAAATCCCTCCCTTGCATGGGAGCATGCTATATAAGGCACTGTGGAATAAAGGTTGTCAGTTCTGCTCCTGAAACTGTGTGTCGTCCAGTTATTGGGATTGCTGTGGGGATATTGCTGTTATTTTGCCTGCTGGAAACCTTGCCTGTGTATTTACAATTTACTTGTTCCTGAGCCTCACTTGGATTATAAGCGGAGATAGCCTGGGGAATATTGTATCTCCGCTACAATCAGGATCCATTTCCAAATGTATCACGTCCATTTTAAGGTCTTTGTTAAATACTAGTGCAACCCCTCTTTTTTTCTTTTCTACTAGAGAGGCATGAATAATTATTGGATAGTTGTCTCCACCCCATCTTTGCCTAGAGTCTTTAAGCCAATGGGTTTCCTGTAGAAAAGCAACTTGGATATTATGATCTACCAGGGAATTATACAAACGATTTCTTTTCTTATTAGTATTAAGCCCCTGAGTATTTATAGATACTATCTTCAGCATATAAAAGCATGAATAGTATCAAAAGGAAAGCTCCTGCTCAAGGTAAGAAACCACACATAAAAAAGGAAAGAAAAACAAATTAACATAAAGACACTTTGATAAAGGAATGTATACCAGTCCATCATCAAAGGACAACTAACCACTGTAAGAAAATATAAAACTAATAAATCCATTAATGCCCGTAAGGGCACAATGAAAATAATGTATTATTACTACACTAGAGGGGAGACTCTAAAACATGACCACGGAGCCTATATTCGGTGTAATCACCCATTAGTACAGGGAGTGCAGAATTATTAGGCAAATGAGTATTTTGAGCACATCATCCTCTTTATGCATGTTGTCTTACTCCAAGGTGTATAGGCTCGAAAGCCTACTACCAATTAAGCATATTAGGTGATGTGCATCTCTGTAATGAGAAGGGGTGTGGTCTAATGACATCAACACCCTATATCAGGTGTGCATAATTATTAGGCAACTTCCTTTCCTTTGGCAAAATGGGTCAAAAGAAGGACTTGACAGGCTCAGAAAAGTCAAAAATAGTGAGATATCTTGCAGAGGGATGCAGCACACTTAAAATTGCAAAGCTTCTGAAGCGTGATCATCGAACAATCAAGCGTTTCATTCAAAATAGTCAACAGGGTCGCAAGAAGCGTGTGGAAAAACCAAGGCGCAAAATAACTGCCCATGAACTGAGAAAAGTCAAGCGTGCAGCTGCCACGATGCCACTTGCCACCAGTTTGGCCATATTTCAGAGCTGCAACATCACTGGAGTGCCCAAAAGCAGAAGGTGTGCAATACTCAGAGACATGGCCAAGGTAAGAAAGGCTGAAAGACGACCACCACTGAACAAGACACACAAGCTGAAACGTCAAGACTGGGCCAAGAAATATCTCAAGACTGATTTTTCTAAGGTTTTATGGACTGATGAAATGAGAGTGAGTCTTGATGGGCCAGATGGATGGGCCCGTGGCTGGATTGGTAAAGGGCAGAGAGCTCCAGTCCGACTCAGACGCCAGCAAGGTGGAGGTGGAGTACTGGTTTGGGCTGGTATCATCAAAGATGAGCTTGTGGGGCCTTTTCGGGTTGAGGATGGAGTCAAGCTCAACTCCCAGTCCTACTGCCAGTTCCTGGAAGACACCTTCTTCAAGCAGTGGTACAGGAAGAAGTCTGCATCCTTCAAGAAAAACATGATTTTCATGCAGGACAATGCTCCATCACACGCGTCCAAGTACTCCACAGCGTGGCTGGCAAGAAAGGGTATAAAAGAAGAAAATCTAATGACATGGCCTCCTTGTTCACCTGATCTAAACCCCATTGAGAACCTGTGGTCCATCATCAAATGTGAGATTTACAAGGAGGGAAAACAGTACACCTCTCTGAACAGTGTCTGGGAGGCTGTGGTTGCTGCTGCACGCAATGTTGATGGTGAACAGATCAAAACACTGACAGAATCCATGGATGGCAGGCTTTTGAGTGTCCTTGCAAAGAAAGGTGGCTATATTGGTCACTGATTTGTTTTTGTTTTGTTTTTGAATGTCAGAAATGTATATTTGTGAATGTTGAGATGTTATATTGGTTTCACTGGTAATAATAAATAATTGAAATGGGTATATATTTGTTTTTTGTTAAGTTGCCTAATAATTATGCACAGTAATAGTCACCTGCACACACAGATATCCCCCTAACATAGCTATAACTAAAAACAAACTAAAAACTACTTCCAAAAATATTCAGCTTTGATATTAATGAGTTTTTTGGGTTCATTGAGAACATGGTTGTTGTTCAATAATAAAATTAATCCTCAAAAATACAACTTGCCTAATAATTCTGCACTCCCTGTATGCGAAAGCCCAGCGGTGTTTGACGGTTATTCCATGGAACTAAAAACGGACACTTTTTCAACCAAACACCGCTGAAGCCGTCGACCTCCCCTTCTCAATCGACAAAAGTATACGAATACCGGCTGTTCGAGAGATTTAAAGACACGAATGGACTTACCCCAGATAGCCTTCCCATGGAGTCAATCGCATACCGAAGAACTGTAATAGACTTTGACTCCATGGTGATTGAACTATGTGTATGGGATATGCACTCAGATCCAGGCTATCTGGGGATGTGTTATACGAATGCAATACGTTCGGCAGTTATAAAGTTGTGTATTTTAATGTGTTTTTTAACTTTGGTTTAAAATGGCGATTTGCCTCTGCTCTGGGAGATAATTGAATTACTTCTCAATTATCTCCCGAGCAGAGGGGAGGAAACTGTGTTGCATGCTGGGAATATTGTGGGGATGTATGTCTGAAATGTCCCCATGTCCTTCTGTTATTCCAGTCCACTTGGTGGACACTCCCCTAGGGGACCAAATGGGAGACCTGCATAAATACGGGCAGGTAGCCCACAGTAAACTCAGTTCGTGTTTTACCCTCAAAGCGGAGCTTGGTCTCGTTATTGGGGGGGGATTTTATTACCGGCGACGAGAGACTGCTTATTGGGATTATTTGCCGCTTGGAAGATATTGGCATTTGGCTAATATTGGCGATTCGTGTATTTGGAGCTCGTGAAGGGAAGGAGCCGTACAGGTACCGTTCGGGAGTTTGGAGTGTTCCCTGGCTGGTGGTTCGCATGGTTATACTGTATACGCTACCAGACCGCATTATTGCGAACGGGGAGCATTCACTAAACGGCGGTTTGTACATTTATTACTGGAGGTACCGTAACAGTGTTCCTGAGCATGTCTAGGGATGCCACTTTATAGCCTTATGGCCGCCCACATTGATGATGATTGATGAAACGTTTTGGGGTCAAAGACCAGTTACAACCATCTGGAATAATTTAAACTAATTTTTACATTCTCTCATTGCCCTGTCGTGGTCTCTGCCTGATGGTAATCCGAGAGTGCGTTCCTGATCTT